CGGATTTGCGTACATCAAAAGGATCGTGGCAGGGATATTCAGTGTAGTTAAGAAGCCCCATGAGGTAGCGCCGAAGAACACAGCTCTCACTTACGAGAGAAGTACCAGTGTTGAGTGTTGATGTGAAGTGCATCTTTGATGTATCCATTGGTGAAGAAGTTTTTGGGTAACGTGGCAACCATGGGGTACCTAATCATTTTGATGTGTGGCGCATGCGGCGAATGAATATGCGTGGGTTGTGAAGGCAGCAGAAGCGGACACGGCAAGTGTATGACCGAGGCTCCAGGTGCTGGTTCACCAGACGACTGATCCGCAAGTGACGCGAACAGGCCGATGCGTGAGGTGAGGACAGTTTGGGAACAGGTGCACATCATTTGTGTTTGGAGGTCATGTTGGTGGTGTTCGACGCGTTTGTCAGCAGACCATGAGGGGGAACTTTCGGCGTTGAAAAAGGCAGTGCTTGAGATTGACAGATGTTTAAAGCTTTGAGACGGAGATTGTACGGCGCCGGTCCGATTGGTTTCGTAGATTGCAGTCAGAGCCTTCTGGTTTATGGGTCCTGGGCGCGGTCTTTATATACTCTGGCGCGATTTGCATGGGCTTCAGAGAGGTATCGAAGGTGTTTTTGTAGCGTTGGACGTGACTTTCTGTGCGGCGAGCTCAGACAGGAACAATTTCGTCGGAGCTGCCTTTGGGTAGTCGTCCGTTGCCCAGCGGCATAAGGTTACCGTTCCAGTGTAGTTGCAGTAGCTTTAGCAGAATGTAGATGCTGCGGTTTCTGATTCGTTCGTTCGTTGGTTTAGGGGAAGTACGACCACAGCGTGACCTTTTGCTTACTTGTACTTATTTTGACTAGTTTCCGTCTATGCTTTGAAGTCGGCGATGCTAATATATGATGCTAGGCTTCGTAGTTGCTGACAACTCCGATATAGCCCAACTTTGGAAAGTGTGTCCTGCCAGGAGACTCCTAAAATGCGTGAGAAACACAAACGGTCTATGATTTCGGACGGTAGAATATCAACAATCTTTCTGACTGGCAAGATTCGCAAGCATTAGCTTACGCCTGTCTTATGGGGTCTTTGTATATCAACAGCTTAGTAAGTAAGCTTATGTCTTTGCGAGACCATACTGTTCTGGTTAGCAGTCTAATTGAACTTCGAGCCTACGGTTGTTGTTCAGCCTCCTGCCAGGAACTTCAGATGAGTAAACTTCCACTTTGCCAAACCATATTTAGGGGTGCCTCGAAGGTAGATGATTTGACCCGAGTTATCCCTAACAGTGGAGCAAGGTGGTTTATTTTTGTCAGATGTCTTACGTAGTAGAGGTGGTTGAAGTCACCAGAGGTAGATGCTGATGTCATGAAACCAGCTAACTAGGCTCAATGTTTCTGAGGGTCGCGTCTTCCTGATCAGGTCGTTGACTTTTCAGTGAGCGATTGGTATCTGAGTTGGACAACCGGACGTTCCTAGCTTGTGTCGAGAGATGGAAGGTCGAATTCACTCCCATTTTGTGTTGCGTCTCTAAGCTGTAGCCACTGAGT